AGATTTTATATTGATGTTTAATTTTGGCTAAAATTAAAGAAAATGTTCATAACTTTTTTTTTTAAATATACTTTTGCTCATTGTAATATAACTTTTTTATTATAATAAAATTTTTTTAAAAATAGTCCTCTTAATTTTTTTATCTTATTATATTTCAACTCTTATAATATATATATATATATATATATATTTATTTATTTTAGTTTCTATAATATTTTGAGCATTTTAAATTAGTATTTTTTTTAAAAAAAATTGATAGGAACTAAAAACAAATTATTCATATATTACGAAGACAAAAGTAAAAATAAATATACTACAAAGATTAAAAGGAAATAATAATAATAATAATAATAATAATAATAATAATAAATTTTACAAGGACCATTTAAAAAATATTAGTTTTATAAAAAATAATTTTTAAAAAAAACTGTATATTACATGGATATAAATGTATATATTTAAGCGTTTTTTGTTACTAAGTTTCAGCAAATTTGGTAAGTTCCATGAAGTTTCTCTTGGAGTGAGAATGGTCCTAAAGGCTAAAACCATAGTTTGAATGAGGTGCATGTTAGATCACGGAAAGAATATATGCATAATATCTGCATAATCTTTTATTATAAATGTTATCTTAATTGTAGTCTAATTTCACTTATATTTTCATGTATATATTTTACCAATGAATAAGAATCAGACACGCAGGATTTCCAACAGTGCATATTTTTTTTTTTTTTGTTTTCAGCTGATTAATGTGATCGCTTTTGAGTTTTGCAAGGGTGGTCAAATTCAATGCAGGTGGAAGTCGGGAATTGCGATGTGCATGATTTGAATCATGAAATAAATAGACTTTTTGAAAGCATAATCACAAAAGTAAGGGAGAGGTTTGGACGTTTGTTGGTGTGACTCGCGAAGTGGTTGCTTCTCAAATTTTAAAACTTTAAATTTTAGTCTTTAATACAATTAAGATTTTGAGGAAATTCTACCAATATCATGTTAAAAAAAAAAAAGAAAAAAAAAAGTAAGGGAGAGGAATTTTTGCATGGAGAGTCAACCTTGGTTATGATGATTTGAGTAGCAATTGGCGAAAGGCAAGAATATATAAGGAGTCACGGAGAAAGGAAATTTGGTAGTGCTCTTACTTTTCCAGCATCCTGTTGCTTTGCATTTTGTTTTTCTGCCTACCAATTACCAACAGGATCATTTCTCAGCCAACATGAGTTTTGTTTTCATTGTTTTAAAACGTAAAAATTATTATCCTCAGTTTTGTTTATTCTAATAAAATATTATATATAAAGAAAGAAAATAGTACTTTATACTTTAAATTTTACAAAAATATTTTAAACTCTAATTTTATATTTCAACTCGAAAGAATCTTCTTCCTTCATGTATAGTGTCACCAATCATGTGTTTGGTGTAAGCAAAACAAAGATTTTTAATTAAAATCAACACCATCACAAATCACATATGATCTTTTACACCTTCAAGAACCCTAGAAAGAAAACAGAGAAAATTAAAATTTCATACTTGTTCTCTTTAATTTATCTCTTTTAAGTCTCTAAAGTATTAAACTTTTGAGATTCAATTTTTAACATAAATATTATATCATTCTCTTTTTAAATTTAAATTAGACCCCAATTTAGATAAATACGCTAAAACATTTAAAAATTCCTCAAAAATTTTCTTAACCCCTAAAATTTCTCAATCATGTTTCAAAATAATTAAACATATAATTATTACTAAGAGATAATAATTAACAAAAATTTAATGTTATTAATTAAATTAACTATTTTTAATTTTATAAGTTAATTGAATATTTTAAAAGAAGGATTAGAAAGAGTGACATGGCAAAACACTGTTACATGTTTCCAAAACATGGTTATTCACGCTATTAATTCAACCACGTGTTTTGGAAAAGGAAAAATATACTACATCTACATGGGCTTCTTCACTGTACCGCGCCTTTCCGACAAATGGTTTCGTCTGGAGTTTAGACCCTTTTTATTTATTTATTATTATTTTTATTTTTATTTTTATTATTTATTTTTTACCTTCCCAATTTCTTTACCCATTATCTGTCTTGTCTCGTTTGAACATCTTTGGGTGGTGTTGGTGTGATCATTTCAGAAAAATATTTTTTATTTTTTATTTTTTATTTTAAAAATTAAAAGATATCTTTAATTTTATTATTTTTAATAAAATTTCATAAAATATTTTTTATATAAAATTCACAATCAAAATTACTTCATCTCTCTATATATAAATTATAATAATATTTTATTTTGTAAATATTTTTTCTTTTCACTCTAATATTTATTTTTATTTGAATATCCTCCTCTCATAGTAAGTGAATTTCACTCTAAAAATGTGCAAATATCTATTATATTTTTTCATCTAATAAATAATTTATTATCTAACAAACAATAATTATAAGATAGATCGATTGAATTAAATGTGTAAAAAATTAAGTCTATGAATTGTGTTTCCAAAGCTGTAAGCTTAGAAATTTGTAAAAAAGTTTTAAAAATTACAATCACATGCCACCGTATTTTCAAAAGTGCAAAAAATAATGGAAATAACTTTTTTTCCCATTTTTAATTTTGGGCTTCTTTTGAAAATATTTTTTGTACCCGTCTAAAGGGCATACTAGTAATCTTCTCGTACTCTGAAGGCCGAACGAGAGCTTCAAGCGAATATCCTAGTGAGGGGGAGGATACCTGCAAAAGGTACTTCGACACTCAAGTCAGGACAAGCATGAATATCGATAGTAATTAATGAACAGTAACATACCTCATTTTACGTGACTTATTTATACTGGTTGTAATGGGCCCTGAGCGCGGTGGGCCTCTTCTGATATTTACCAAATTAGGTAATACGGTACTAAATGACCGATTATGCCTTAATCATGCGTTTGTCCTTGTTAATCGTGATTATTGTTCTAATGACAGTATTTAGTCATTTCGGCCAACGGCCGAGATGAGAGGTAAAGGGCCGCCTAAGTATGGGTGTCTTGTACAAAGCTGTCTTCGGGTCTCGACCTCTAACCGGGCCGAGACGTTATTTGATTGACTAGTTAGGTTACTAATATGGCCAGGACTTCGATGTTTTGGGCGCAAGGGGCCTTGTAGGTTCGGTCATCTCGGCCGCCGACGCGTTCGAGAGCCTATGCTAAACCATGTGATGTAGAAGTCCTTGCATCCCGGCCGTCTCGATGGCCGACATGCCCGAGACTACTGTACTTTGGAAAACACCTTTTGTCTCGACCGTCTCGATGACTGAGAGGGTATCATGTTTCCTTTCACGTGGCCGATGTGATCCTCCCAATACATTTTCAAAGAAAATATTTTTTAAAATTAAAAATAACACATTTTATATTTTTTAAAAAAATAAAAATAGAAAACAATAAAACCAAACATACCCTTGGCAATAGAGTAATGCCCGTGTGTCTTATTTCAGATACATTTACGACCAAAAAAGTATGATACTTTAGTTATGTTGCTGTTGAATAAATACTATCAACGGAAAATGAATTTTCAAAAGCAACTCACAAGTTGCTTCTAACTAAAAATAAGTTTAGTGTCAAACCGGGGTAAAAAATTTACTTTGAATGACAACCAAACATATATTGTAAACTGAGTTTATTGATGTAAAAGTGTGTTGGAGGAACCCAAACAAGCAAACAAACACAGCCGAAGCAATTCTGAAAAATGAGAATGACTTGTCTTACTTAATTTTCTTGTAATAAAGTTATATAAATAGGAAGATGGACATAAAAACGTTAAACAAAGCTTTATACATGGTAACACGATTTTACCTATTTAAAATGAATGTTTTTTTAATTTTTATTTCACGTGAAGTTGTCATGTAAAAAATTTGTTGATTGTGTCCTTCTCGATCAAATATACATCATCAAGATACTACTTCCCGTGAAAAATTTGTTGACTGTGTCTTTCTCCATCAAATTTACATATACACACATTATAAGGATAAGTTTTGGTAAATTTATTTCACTCAATAATTCATATTTTATATTAAATTTTAATGATTTAATCATTAAATTAAAAATTATTAATGTATAGATTAAATTAACAATTTTTTTTATAAAAATTAAAAACTATTTTATATTTTGTTTCATTAATTTAAATTGATGAATACTTATAAAAATATTTTATACGTTAATTTGAATTTATATAATGAAGTATTATATAATTTTCAATATTTTTTAAAATGTGTAGATTTGATCAATACATTAAGAAATTTTTAATTTAATAATTAAATTATTAAAATTTAATATAAAACATAAGTTATTGAGTAGAGTAAGCACACTAAAATTTATCATTGAAATAAGTGTATTTTTCCATATATATACATACATAAACACACATATATATAAAGAGAGAGAGAAAGTAACGAAGAAATCAAAATATAATGCTAAAAAAGAACAAATATACATGCAAGATTCAATAATTATTAGTTTTGGTAGAAACAAACTATCTTTTAGAAGAGACAATTTGATTTGAGTTAAATAAAATATCTATAAATAACAAAGTTTTATTTATTTATTTATCAAAATTATAATGAAGAAATCAAAATTTACACTTAAGATATATACATTCGCACTATCCCAACCCTTATTCTAGTAGTTCAATAATAAAACTTTTGTTTCAGTCTAAGACAATTATGATTTATGAATCACAAAATTTAATAATAGAGTACATGGTTAAAAAAAAAATGAACACTGTAACACTTGACGGGAATAATGGAAGGAGATGGTAGAACAGTAGTAGTGAGACATGCACGAGTCCATTTTTGCCTTTGTCGCATACTACTTTTGACTAATGGATCAAAAGAATGATTTGTTTAGGCAAATGTTGAAGAGAAGCAACCAAGAAGGTGAGTTAGGAACCTCCGAGTTTAATTTATTGGATTATATAAAGTCGTTTTTTTGTTCCATATAAAATTATGTGCACAATCAAGTTAATTTCTTGGCGTGGCCCATCTCTTTTGTTGTGAATTTGTGATCTATCTTAAAATTCAAATGTGCGTGCTTTTAAGAGAGAAAACGAGGAATAGGAAAACCAATTAAAGGAATTGTATATCAAGTGCTTTTTTGAAAACCACACACCTAATTTGGACCACAACTACATATTCACCAGCAGCATATAGAGGATTAATTAGCTACAACCCAATGGCTACATCCTGAAAGAGCTACCAAGTTTTTACTTTTTTGTGCAGAGCAGTGATCATGGTGAAAACTCCTTGTTGTGAGAAGATGGGCTTGAAGAAGGGACCATGGACACCGGAAGAAGATCAGATATTGATTTCTCATATTCAACAATATGGCCATGGAAATTGGCGTGCCCTTCCAAAACAAGCTGGTGTGTGCTACTTAATCTTCTTCATTATATACATGTGTGTCATAAAATTAATTGTTAACTTGTTAAGAACAAGATTTTAATTATATAAACACATGCTTTTTGTTGTTGTTTCTTAATAGATGGATTATTTAAATTATGATTGTTTAGGTTTGTCAAGGTGCGGTAAGAGTTGTAGACTTCGTTGGATAAATTACTTAAGGCCGGATATTAAACGAGGAAGATTCAGCAAGGAAGAAGAAGAGATCATCATCAAATTACATGGAATTCTTGGAAATAGGTGCGGGTTTAAAATATATAACTATGAGAGAAACAATATTCCTAATGATCAAATTTTCTATAACATTTTTTTTGTCACGTCATTCATTTTTATCATCTCTCCTTTGTTTCTATCTTTTTTATTGTAAAGATTGTAGTAGAATCTTATAGTAATAGTACTCTAAATTCAAAGAGCCATATAACAAGTCATATGCATGTGATGTGATTGCGTTTGCTGAGGTATTTTAACTTGAACGATTAAATTAATTTCTTAGTGAACCCTTGATGTTCAGATGGGCTACTATTGCGACAAGATTACCGGGACGAACTGACAATGAAATAAAGAATTTTTGGCACACCCATCTGAAGAAGAGGCTTGAGAGAAGTGAATTGCAAGGTTCCTCGAATTCCTTGCAAGAGGCACAAGCAGTTTGTAGTGCAGGGAGTTCAATAAATATGGCACAAGGAGTGGTGGATGCTTCGGATGCTACTTCTTCTAGTGTCGATGGGAAACTATTGATTGCCAATGACAGTTTACTCTCGAGGAAAAATCCACCTATTGTAGGTCTAGGATTTTATGGCGCAGTCTCTTCTGATATTTCGGGACAAATAATTCGCAATAATTCTCACAGTGTCATCGGTGAAGAAATGGAGTTTTGGTATAATATGTTTATGAACAGTCATCACAAGGGTATCAAAATGTAAGACAGGTCGCATAATAAATAATGTACCTCTCTATTCCCCTTTCTATATATTGTTTTTATTGCCAATCGCCTCAGCTTTGAGTTTTAATTGCTTAAATTCAATTTGATGATATAATTTGGCAAGGATATATTAAATTATTAAGGTTCACGAGGGGAACATGTATTCAATGTCTATTATACTACCATTGTATTTGCATCACATTGAGTATGAGTGAGATACCCTCCTGGGTCTGAGTAAAAGTTGTTCCACTTCATGGATCCCTTGAAATGTGTTAAACGTACAAAATTTACCAATAAAAGGAAAAGTCTAATACGTAAAAAATTTTGATCGTAATTGTTTTTTTCTCATCACTTTGTAGTGGACAGTTATACCTACTCAAATGTTAAGGAAAAAAATGTGTTCTTTTTTAAAATAATCACTTACATTTAAATATATATTTTTAGAGAAAGTGTATGAGAGAGAGAATTGTAATTTTCTTTTAGATTTAAATATATATTTCTTTTTACGATTTTCTAACCACTTTTTTTTCTTTCTATTTTTCATTTAGAGTTTTAGATATTTTTATTCTTAAATTCATACCACTAACTCTGCAAAAAAAACACTAAAATCTTAATATTATCATCATCATCATCTTCTCTTAAACCCTTATAAAATAAATATATAGGAGTACGAATTACATTAATACTTATGTAACTTTGAGAATTTTTTTTTAACACAATTAAGACTATTTCTTAAAGATGTTGTATGCAGAAAAAAATACAATAACCACATTTCTTATTGATTGAAGTGTAGAGTAAATTATAGAAACAATATATGTCAAATAAATTTTAAATACAAATTAAAATACTAAAATAATTATTAATTTTTTAAATATAATAATATAGATATTATCCTTCAAAAAGTGCACGAAAATTATAACACAAAAATAGTTAAATTTTAAGGTATAAAATAAAAATATTATCTTTCAAAAGCGTTCACGATGGGACTCGAACCCACAATCTCCCGCTCCGGAGGCGAGCGCCTTATCCATTAGGCCACGCGAACTTTGTTATCAACTAACCTCATTTTTTATTATCTCATAAATTGACTGACTATTAAGTTTGTCGTATAATTTAATAATATAATATTTAAAAATAAAAATATAAAATATAAATTAGATTTTATCAATAAAATAAATATCAATCACATATAAAAATATACAAATGAATATCTTTTGTATATTATTTTTAAATTTTTGATTAAATATCACGTTACTTAAGTGATAATAAATTAAAATAATGTTAAAATTTAATTATTAACAAATATTAAATTGACAATTGTAACGTAGTAAGTTAGTTCAAAGTTTAGTGAATGTTAGAGAGAAAAGTATATAAATATAAGGCTTTCTCTCATAAGCTCAATCTCAAAGAAAGTTTTAGAGAGAAGGGCTCTGGGTCCATGAGCTCCCTTCCCTCCCAAATTTTTCTGTTTGATTCTTCTTCTTCTCTCGATCACTAATTCTTTCTGTCTTTTCTTGGAATTCAGGCTAGGAAACTTATTTTGGAGGATTGAAGTCCACGGGTTGAGCTTCGGGGAAAAATCTTCTTCTTTTTCTCATTTCTTTCTGAGCCAAACTTTCTGGTAAGGGAAGCTAGAATGTAGGTTGTTTAGTTGCATGTGAGTTTAGAAACTCAATTGGTGCATGAGTTTTGGAAATCAATGGTTGAATTGAAGGAATTGCTTATTTCGAGGTTTTGGGCAAAAATAGAATTTTTGGTGATTTTGATGCATCGGATGGGTGCATGTTGAATCTGAGATTGTTTTTGAATTATATGAAGTCTATGTATTGTTTTCATGGACTTACATGTGGTTGGATCTTCTGATTTTCAGGTTTTGGATGAAATTTTCTAGGTTTTGGAGGTTGCTGTTTAAATTTGCGTCGGACGCGTGTTCTTGGCGCCGGACGTGCATTCATCAAAGGTAGTCATTTCCTAATCACGCCGGGCGCGAGATTAGTTGCGTTTGGTGGAATTTGAGATGGGAGTCTCTAGATGAGTCACGTCGGGGGCGATATCAGATAGTGACTTTGTATGGCCTTTTACTGATATAGCGCCGGACGTAAGGTTGAGTGTGCCGGGCGTGGAAGCCCTTGGAAGCCTTTGGCTTAATGAGGCCGAGCATAATATAGATTATGTCGGGCATGATTCTTGAAGGGGGATCTCTGTCTAAGTGATGTTGGGCGTAGTGATTCTTTGTCGGGCGTGGGAAAGTCTTAGAGCTCTCGGGTTGGGTTTAGGCGGGGCACGAGCTGACCTGCGCCGGACGTGAGTATGTTTGGTGTTATAATTGAATATGATGCTTGTGCGTGTTTTAATGTTGAAGTTGGATCATGTATGTATGAGTTTGATACATGATAAAAATTGGTGCTTGATTCATATGTATGTTTGGTGATGATATATATGAATGTTTAAACATGATTTGGTATGTAATTTTATATGAGGATGATATTGATCATGATGGTGGATTCACCATGTATAATGTATGATGCATTATTGCATGTGATGCCTTATGACATGCGTCTAGCCTAAGACTTGAGGAGAGGGAAAATATTTTCGAACTAGAAGAGCTCACATAAAGTCTCTTGAAAGTGGTGCTTGGATAGGCCACTGATTTAGACGAGTGTGGTGTTTGGATAGGTCACTGGTTTTGGGTGAGAGTGGTGTTTGGATAGGCCACTGGTTTTGGGTGAGTCTCCTCTAAGTCCTTAGCTAGTGTTGGAGCGGGGTATGAGGTCGAGGGTTATTCCCTTAACCAAGTATTGGGAAAGGTGCGTGGTTTCTTGCGGATAGTTAGTGGGCGAACTCCACAAGTGACTTGGTAATGTATGCCAAGGTCGTGGTAAGCCTGTACCTAGTTGTGCTATACATGATGGTGGAACCGGATTTCCAAGTGTGCAAGTGACATCATCCGAGTAAACTTGAGTGGGGATTTATATCCCGGTTAGCTATGACCGAGCGAGCACATTGGGCGTGAAAACGGTTGGGGTGGTTTCGGTAGGATAAAATGCCACTTATACTGCTCTGTTATTAGGGAGATCTCATAGGTGAATGCGTGACGACGCATTAAATGATTGATATGCATTGATATTTGCTATGAGTTGCTATTATTGCATAATTTCTATTATGATGAAGTGTATGGTGTTTGGCTTCATGGTTGGTGAGTTGATGATTGAGTGGGATGGAAGTCCCTTGGGACATGATGATTGAATGAATATGTAGTATAGATTTTTATTCTATACTTGTTTAGTTGTTTATTGAACTCTAGTTTACCCTTCTGTTTCTATGTGGATGGACTGCAAAGATCATACTGTGTATGAGAGCATATCAGGGTTAAGTTGGAGCTGGTTGTTGTGACCGCTACGAGATGTGAAATTGTTATAGTGTCAGTGTTACCATCTTGGGTAACTGTTTGTTTGTAATTGACCGACACTAGGAGAGTATGGATATTTTGGATAACTATATATATATATATATATATATATATATATTATGTTTTGTACATAGTAACATAGTTCATTATTACTTATATATATATATGTATATATTTGGTTATCCAGTTAACATTTTCTCTTAGTTCACTAGTGTATTTAGTTGATTTCACTGAATATGGGGACCATGACGGGTCGTTACAATAATAGAATAAAATATTTATATTTTTCAAAATAAAAAATAAAATATATTTATCTTAAAATAAAAAAATTTATGTTACCAAAAATAGAAAAACCAACTGTACAATTTATAATTAAAAAATACATATTATTTTATGATAGATACCGTATATAGAATAAAGTAAATATATGTTTTCAAACTTTTCGTTATTATCCTTTACAAATTTAAAGTGAGTTTACATTGATTTTATAGATATTATTTTGATTAAAATATATTTTTAATCTCCTAAATTTAGAATAAATTTATTTTTCATTCTTTAAATTCAAAATTATTTTTTAATGTAATTTTTAAAAATATTATTTTAGTTCATCAAATAACTAATAATATATTTTAAAATGATAAATTAAAATAATCATACAATATCAGTTATGTTTAATGTTATATTTTCACTGATAGAAAAATACCAGTAATAACATATTTTTTTTTAAAATTAATAAGAATTAAAACAAAATCTTTTCATATTACATGAATTAAAAGGATCAATTTTAAATTTGAAAGATTAAAAGTATATTAAAAATTATTATTTTTAATTAAAAATAACTTATATATATATACATATATACATATATATATATATATTAATTATATATATATTTTTGTAATTTTTTTTATACATTTTTATCTTTGTAATTTTTTCAAACTACTGACGTCTTTTCTATTATAAATCACTTATTATTTTATAGCTTTTTTATTTCTTCGTTTTTTAAAAAAAAATAAAAATAAAGTATTTATCTTATTCTAGTATATATAATGAGACAAAATCAAATAAATTTGGGTAACAAAATTATTAGAATGATATCTTAAAAAAATTCATACACTCCCGAAAATTATCTATAGTATATTTAAAACTTAAATTTATGTTAAGGTTCATTTTCTTTTTATTTTTTTTGGTTTTGCAAAGACCTGAGAGAGTTATATTATGGGCAGGGAATGGAATGGATTGGGCTCGTATCGGGAATAATGGATCTAGAGCGTTTGGGTTCAGACCCAGATTTGGTCTGAGGCAATAGGGCAAAGGCAAGAGAAGGTGAACCCACAGTAGTAGTAACTAGTAAGTAGCTTGTTTTGATTTTTTGAGGGCAATTACACAAGACAAACAGAACCTAACCTGCAGGGATCGGAGTGAGAGTGAAAGGGATTTGGTTCTGGAGTAACAGCGTTCTTCTTCGAGACCGTTTTAATTGTTTGGTTGGTGTCTGTAATCGAAGCGAAGATGAGGATTATGATAAAGGGCGGTGTTTGGAAGAACACCGAAGATGAAATCCTGAAAGCTGCTGTTATGAAATATGGTAAGAACCAGTGGGCTCGAATCTCTTCGCTCCTTGTTCGCAAATCCGCCAAGCAATGCAAGGCTCGTTGGTACGAGTGGCTCGATCCTTCCATCAAAAAGGTACCTCTCTAATTCTCAATCTCCTATGTGCTTCTTATGTTTCATGTCTTGCTGTCAGACAATTTTAATTCGACTTTATGCTCTTACATGACTCTGTGTGCCAAGGAATGGGTATTACGTAGTAGTAGAGTGCTAGTTGTTGTGATATTTAGCTTAGTGCTCTTATTATATTAAGCTTCCATATATGTAGTGAATCCTACAAGTTGTTTGGGTAAACTTTCCCATAAGTACTTATTGGAAAGAAAAATAAGAAGGAAAAAGGAAATAAGTTTTTTCATGAGTTAAAATTAGCTTATACATGAGATAGTTTGTGGAAGCTCTCTTTAGCTTCTCCAAAATCTGATTTTAACTCACGCTTAAGCTAGTTTTAACTTGTGGAAAAGAAAAATAAGAAAGAAAAATGAAATAAGCTTCTCCATAAGTTTAAAAATAAAATTAGCTTATACATGAGCTAATTTGTGGAAACTCTATCCTCTTAGCTACTCCAAAATCTGTTTTCTAACTTATGTTTAAGCTAGTTTTAACTTAGAGAAACTTATTCTGATGTTGATTATAATTTTTTTAATGCACTTTTCCATCTACAGCATTTATCTCTCACTTTCTAGTTTTTACTATCTTGCAATATGTGCTTTCTATTTATAAGGATTAAGGAGTGATTTTTAAATTTGATGTTTTTTTTTGTGCTTGTGTAGACCGAGTGGACAAGAGAAGAGGATGAGAAGCTACTTCATCTTGCTAAGCTTATGCCCACGCAGTGGAGAACAATTGCTCCAATTGTGGGCCGTACCCCTTCCCAGTGTCTTGAGCGGTATGAGAAGCTGCTTGATGCAGCCTGTGTGAAAGATGAGAACTATGAGCCAGGTGATGATCCTCGGAAGTTGCGTCCTGGGGAGATTGATCCAAACCCTGAGTCAAAACCTGCACGCCCAGATCCTGTTGATATGGATGAAGATGAAAAGGAGATGCTTTCTGAAGCACGAGCCCGATTAGCAAATACAAAGGGCAAGAAAGCAAAAAGGAAAGCCAGGGAGAAACAGCTTGAGGAAGCTAGGAGGCTTGCTTCTTTACAAAAGAAGAGAGAATTGAAGGCTGCTGGAATTGATATTAGGCAGCGGAAGAGAAAAAGGAAAGGAATAGACTACAATGCTGAAATTCCATTTGAAAAAAGACCCCCTCCGGGATTTTTTGATGTTACCGATGAAGATAGACCAGTGGAGCAGCCCAAGTTCCCCACTACAATTGAAGAACTTGAAGGAAAAAGGAGGGTTGATATTGAAGCACAGTTAAGAAAGCAGGACATTGCAAAAAATAAAATTGCACAAAGGCAAGATGCCCCATCTGCCATACTGCATGCCAACAAGCTCAATGATCCAGAAACAGTAAGAAAGAGGTCAAAACTAATGCTTCCACCACCCCAGATTTCTGATCAGGAATTGGATGAAATTGCAAAGTTGGGTTATGCAACTGATCTTGCAGGGAGTCAGGAACTTGCTGAAGGTAGTGGTGCAACACGTGCTCTTCTGGCAAATTATGCGCAGACACCTGGTCAAGGAATGACTCCTTTACGAACCCCTCAGAGAACACCGGCTAGTAAAGGAGATGCCATCATGATGGAAGCTGAAAATCTGGCCAGATTGAGGGAGTCTCAAACGCCATTGTTAGGAGGAGAGAACCCAGATTTGCATCCTTCAGATTTTTCTGGGGTTACACCTAAGAAAAAGGAGATTCAGACTCCAAATCCAATGCTGACTCCTTCTGCAACTCCAGGAGCTGCAGGACTAACTCCTAGAATTGGCATGACACCAACTAGAGATGGTTTTTCTTTTAGCATGACACCAAAGGGAACTCCTCTTAGGGATGAGCTACATATTAATGAGGACATGAATATGCATGACAGCACTAAACTTGAGTTACAGAGACAGGCTGATATGAGGAGGAGCTTACGTTCTGGTTTAGGAAGCCTTCCACAGCCTAAAAATGAGTATCAAATAGTGATGCAACCAGTTCCGGAAGACGCTGAAGAGACTACTGAGGAGAAGATTGAAGAGGATATGTCTGATAGAATTGCTAGAGAAAAAGCAGAAGAAGAGGCAAGGCAACAAGCATTACTTAGAAAACGATCAAAAGTCCTTCAACGGGAACTTCCTAGACCTCCTGCTGCATCATTGGAGCTTATAAGAAATTCCTTGATGAGAACTGATGGGGACAAGAGTTCCTTTGTTCCACCAACCTCTATTGAGCAAGCTGATGAGATGATTAAAAGGGAACTTCTAACTTTACTGGAGCATGACAATGCTAAGTATCCGCTTGATGAGAAAGTGAATAAGGAGAAAAAGAAAGGAACCAAGCGTGCTGTAAATGCTGTCCCAGTGATAGACGATTTTGAGGAAGATGAAATGAAAGACGTATGTATTTACTAATGTCTTAATTATTTTTATCTTTATTTCCTTTTTTGATAACATCTAATTTTCTTGACTTTATAGGAAGTAGCTTGGTCAACTCACACCCTTTTTGATACATACAAGTAACTTGATTTCTGTTATGGAGGATGACCTTCCCTTTTTATGCATATCCGGAGGCTCTAATGACCTTATCATTTTTTAGTCATTTTAAAAAAAATTATATTTCTCATTCCTATACAAACTAATATAATAGGAATAATTTGGATCTGTCAATGTTCCATCACTTTCTTACCTAAATCTTTTCTACTTAATTTGGATCAACGCATTGGTCATAATTTTTTGTTATTAGAAAATTTCTTTATACTCCTATTATATTTCCATCCTTTATTTATTAGTTCTTTTATCATGATTTTTTTTCTTGTCAATGATGAGTTGGTAATGGTCAATTTAAGTGTAGTTTTTGAAAATGAATACTATAAAACCTTAGTGAATATTTTGAAACTAGTCATTCTACATAAGTGTTGCTCAAATTTGTGTAAATTTATCCTTTTTTGATTTTAAAGGTCATACATTCTGGTTGTAGTTTTTGACTTTATGCTATGTTGTCTCTCATTAAATGATCCTTCTTTGTCATGGTGGTATTAAAACAACATGTGAATTAGATATGAAATGCCCACACTTTATGGTTATAATCCTTCAATTAATTTAGTTGGATTGGGTGTTTTCTCTGAATTTTGTGGTGTTCATGTTTCCAGATATGGTCAGGTACATCCTGAGTCAGATGTAATTGTTTGTGTTCTTCCCTTGCCTTTATTTTTAAAAAAGTGGTATACTATAAATTGTTTTTGTAGTGCAATATATTTTATGTTCATTTTCCATTTTGATAAAGCAAATGTTTCTATCTACTTAGCTGCTATCTATCTTGCTTCTCATTAATCTTGATTATAGTATCATACTATCATTGGAGATGATACATATTTGCACTATATTTATGTGTATATTGTTTATGGTAGGCTGATAAGTTGATAAAGGAAGAGGCCCAGTATCTTTGTGTAGCAATGGGGCATGAAAGTGAACCCCTTGATGAATTTATCGAAGCACACAGAACCTGTCTCAATGATCTTATGTACTTTCCTACCCGTAATGCCTATGGTCTCTCGAGTGTTGCTGGAAATATAGAAAAGCTAGCAGCTTTGCAGAATGAATTTGATAATGTGAGAAACAAATTGGATGATGGTAAGGAGAAGATGGTACGACTTGAGAAGAAGGTGATGGTTCTCACACAAGGCTATGAGGTACGTTATTAAAATCCTGTATGCAGATTGCTACATTTCTGTTTCTTGCCATGTTACCTTCAATTATCACTAGCATGGTTGTTAAACTCTCATTTTAACTCGTAAAATCGTACGAGTTTACAAGTTTAGGTAGCCAAAACATGTTAAATCACAGGTATTCTTGTTTTATTGTAAACTCGGATAAACTCGGTAAAATCAGTTGTAAACTTGCTAAAAATGCGAATTTAGAAATGAGTTCACGGTTTCACATTTTTTTTAAAAAATTGCTTACATCACCCAAAACAATGTCGTTCTCTGCTGCTGCTACTCAACTAACTGTTGTGGGAGAACTCTCCATTGTTGCTGCTGTTGTTTGGGAACTCAATGACAATTGTTGCTGCTTTCCGCAAACTCATTGATTGTCACTATTGCTGTTTGGGAACTCACCAGCCATTGTTGTTGCTGTCCACAATATTGTCAGTCATTGTTGTTATTGTTTGCAAACTCGCCGCTACTGCTGTTGAAGAACTCACAAATCATTGCCGTTTGATTTTGCTGTTTGAGGAACTTGCCAACTGCTGCTGATGTCTTCCGAAACTTCGCTCTCCCAAAGCTTTTATTTTAGTAGGGGAGTGACCCTTTGAGTCATATGAAGTTTTACTCTAATTCTCTTTAGTAGTTTAGGTATATTGCCTTTTGTACTTATATAAAATATATTGGGTATTACACTCTTATTTGGTGATCAACCGTCCAACATTATGCATGTCCAAACTTATAGTACCTATAACTCAATGTTTTGTACTCGATTTTGTTTATCTATAATTAAAATGTTTATTTGTAAATATTTATTGACACTTGTATCTTTATGTTTGAATACAGTCTTATTCTTTTTAATTTTTTAAGTGCTATCATTTTAAGAATTTATGTTTTATATAAATATTCATGCATGAATTGGTTTAGTTTGATCTTATTAATTAGTAATGTACCACTAAACTTTTCTACTTTTTTGTTGTAGTTTGCTATTCTTCTTTATTATGGAGTTGAAATGTTAAATTAATATGTTATTTATAGGTATTTTAATATATATTTTTATATTAAGTAAACTCTTATGAGTTTACGGAACCTCCACGAGTTTATATAAATTCTTGAGTTTGACAACCTTGATCACTAGTGTTGCTACTTTTAAATGTGTAACCTGATGCTGATTGTGTTCTCTTAAAGAGCTTGTTAGCTCTGCTTGCTTGTATAATTTTATTATCAATATTTGAGGATCTTTTTTGCTTGAATGCCTTCTGTTAAGTTGGTTTTGTAATTGAAAACATCTGTTTTGCCATAAATAAATCAAACTGAAAAGTGTTGTCACTCAAAAATAGTTGGAATTGGAAATTAACCGATTAGTGGGAATTTGGAAAGAGGGGCACCCATGTCCCAAATGGTGGGAACTATGAAGTGGGTGAAAACATGAAGTAAATTCCTTTGGTTTGGTTTTGGTTTTTAACAAAATAGACATTCATTTGTAATTCTAGGTATTCTTATTTTTATGTTGCCCGAGTGCTGGCATACTTAATCTTGAATATTATACTTTGACTGTTGCATTTTTCAGATGAGAGTAAAGAAAAGCCTCTGGCCGCAAATTGAGGCCACTTTAAAGCAGATGGACATAGCTGCAACAGAGTTAGAATGCTTTAAAGCTTTGCAAAAGCAGGAGCAATTAGCAGCATCACATAGGATAAACAATCTGTGGGCTGAGGTACAGAAGCAAAAGGAGCTGGAGAAAACTTTGCAAAATCGGTATGGGAGTCTAATTGAAGAGCTGGAAAAGATGCAGAATATCATGGACCAATACAGATTACAAGCACAACAACAAAAAGAAACAGAAGCAGACAATCATGCTCAAGAGACAACTGAGACCGTGGAGACCAAGACTGATGAAACTGATGTACAGTGTACAGAGAATTGTGAAGCTGTACCTCAATTGGTAGAGCAAGAACATGCTCTAGCAATTGAGCCATCTCATGATGGAATTGCTGACCAGCAAGTAGATATTGTGCAAGACCATGCTACTTCTGGCCTCAGTAATGACATGGATGTGGATTCTGAAAAAATGCAAATTACACACGATACTGATGTTAAATTGAAAAATACTACACCTGCTGCAGAAAATGTTGGTGAAAAAGTAGAAGGTAACGGTACCAACAATGGGGAGACCATGCTAGCAATGAATGCTACAGTGGAAATAATTAGCCCCAATCATGATGTAGTAGTGGATGCAGTAAACTCACATGATAGCAGTATGGAAGAAACCAATCCTGTTGGGGAGGAGACAAATTAGGCTGGACACTCTGTATCATGTTCTGATATTGATGTATGGGGGACATTAGGATGGAGAGTGAGTTGTCTTTTGTTGGAAGGTATATTAACCAAGGGTTTAGTTGATGCTAAAATTTTGTGATCATCCCTTGTCGAAGTTTGGAACATATTATGAAACGACAAACCGCATAAACATTTTGAGATGGTTACCTTTTTCCCCCTCAAAATTTGTCCTTTCATTTGGTGTATGTTGGTAATGTGTTCTTTCACGTTTAAGGATGATATAGGATCTATTTTCAAGAAGGTCCTTCGAAATGTGTACATTTCGTTTTCCGCTCACTTGAATATCACACAATATGTATTTCTTTTGTTCTGATATGCACACTGATGGGTTATGGATAAAATTGTTTGGACAATATTAACCACAAAAACATTGGTGTGCATGAGGTCAATTATGAAATGCAAATAATACGTATATGAATTTATTTAAAATTATTCTGAATATCCATTCTCTGCTTCTGCAATACTACACTACTTTTCTAGTGCATTAACCCCAATGCCTTGGAAGCGACCATGCATTGTCTGAGTTTGAGATAATCATTTAAAACGGATGTGAATATATTAGAGACACATCTGAAGTTAATATCTTAACATTTTTTTTAATATCCAATTGAAGGATTGATGACACACTAATTAACCTTTTCTGCGGTGAACTTTTGCTATGTATAGATATATAAATTCATAGAGATAATTGTATGCTTGAATTTAAGTATGTATGTACAATGAAGTTTAGTTGCTTATCTAGATCCGCATGAGCCTATTGCCAATGTGGCATGGCATTAGAAGTTACCTTCAATATCATGTCACTTGATTTCCTAGCTTTATCCCAAAATCAAAATTTGACCGTGAAGTAACGGATGTGATTTACATTGCAGAACCTGTTAAATCAAGTTGTTTTATTTAAGAGTATATTTAGATAAGTTAAAAACGTTTTTAAAATATTTTTTCTTCTGAAAAAAAAGAATATTTTTAAATAAATAAAATTTTAAAAATACTTTTAAACTTGTCTCTCACGTACTCTAAATTGGTTTTACTTCTCCAATTATGCAAATGGTTTAACATCACCATGCATATATAACCATAATGGTATAATTATTAACAGATGTGAACATGGCTTGGATTGGGTCGAATTAATCTTTGTAAAATTTTATTCATTTTTTTTTGTTAATTTTTAAAGTTCAAATTCAATCTAATCAAAATCTGAAAATATATGGATAAAGTTGAATTGATTTGACTTTGTTAGACTATAGTAATTATAGTTAAATTATAAAAATAAACAAATACAAAACTTAAATTAAGGTAAAATTTAGAATGTATATTTTAAAATAAATAATTACATTATTAATAGAATACCACGTTACAGCAAATATTACTAAATTTTTAGTATTAATGCACAATAACTTAAAAATAAAAACTTATATTTTATAAAAAAAAAATATTATATGTCAGGTTGGATAGTTCAAAACATATCAAAGTTTAAATTGGTCCTAATTAATCTCAAACCGGACTGATTAATGGATTGAGTTAAACGATGTTATTAGGTGATTTATCATGTACATATGTTGAAAAATTTGTTACTCTCTCCATTTTATTTTTTTTTGATGTTTAAGATTATATACAAGAATTAAAAAAATAATTAATATTTTAAATTTTCAAAGTATTCATTACTTATTTTCCTGTTATACTCTTTAGGTGGTTAGAGAAAAAATAATTACATTAAAAATAAATAAACATATTTTTTAGTAAACACACATTAATTACAAAGAATAAAAAAGAAAAAAATTAATAAGTCATTAATTTTAGAAAAGTAATAATAAAAAAAGAAAAAAATAATGTTAAAATGACTATAAAAAAAAAACAGAGAGTATATAATTTTTTTTAGGTGGATACCAATAAATATCATAAATAGATTACGTTGGCTTTGATTTTATTTACCCACTAAAATAAGACCTTCATAAAAAGAGGAGTATCCAAACAAATGGAAGATAATATTTGGAAACACATCCAATAAGGCATTCGTAAAAAGAGGGCTATCCAAACAAATGGTAGATAATATTTTGGAAAAAGGAATACAAATGGAGAGTGCGATTTTTCCTGCGAATTTTTCATAAAAATTTGCAAGAAACGTTGTTCCTGCAAATTTTTATCTGCAGGTAATACCTTCGTGGATAATATTTTTTTGCGAATAATTAAAGAAATTGCTATAAATTTTATTGATAATCTTTCAACTTTCAAATGCTCACAATGAATTCATCCGAAGCATTTGTTTCCATGTCTCCAACATGTGATACATAATCTTTTAAATTCTAAGATTATAGATTATAAGCCTAACACTCAACCATATAAATCGACTTGTAAGGTAAGTGTTGCCCCAACTTATATACTCTTTAACTGCTTTATTTTCAATCGATGTGGGACGTGAAATTTTTTTTAAAATATTAAACTTATAAATTTAAATTTATTTTTTTATTTTTCCTGTGGATTAAAATTTGTAGGAAAATTTGCCTGCAAAATTTTTCTACCATTTAGTAAACATTACTTGTGAATTTATTTTTGCAAGAAAATCTGCAAGAAACAAAATAAAATTCTTACAATATTTTCTGCAAATTTTTACCATGGAAAAAAAATTCTATGATTATTAAAATTGTAGCAAAATTTGTAAGAAATATCTATAAATTATTTTTCGCAAATAAATTTGCAAAAAATTTATGCGAATATTTTTTTGCAGGAAAATTTGCAAAAAAATTCTGCGAATTTATTTTGCAAGAAAATTCATAAAAAATTTCTGCGAATATTTTTTTACAAGAAAATTTGCAAAAAATGACACTTTTCTAGTAGTGTAAATGTAATCAAAGAATACTTAAAATTGATCTTAAAGAGACTTGGGAAAATAATACTTGAGATTGTTTAACCAAGCATGTAAATATAATATTTGTTGAGGTTAAAAAGTACTTATAACAACCATATATAGCAATATAAATCTTAGTAGTGTACAAAAAATTTGGAAGTGGTCTTGGATAAAAATTATTACCAAAATTTGCAGGTGCTCTAAGGGGAGAGGTAATGTTCTTCATACTCTAGTTATTGATAAAGAGGAAGGGCACCCAAAAAAATACTTAACACTCAAGTTAGAGAAAAATTCAGGTAAGTGTAGAATTAGGATTAAAATGATACCTCATACTCAATATATAGGAGATTGATGTTATCTCTAGTTTTAGAGATAATGTTATAGATTTATTTCGGATGATGTATGGAGATATTATTCTTGATAATATGATCTTAAGTGGGATCTTGGATATCTGGGAGATATGGTGCAGTGCAAAAAATATTATTTGGTTGCTGGAGATAATAATCGCTTATGACTTTATCATTTAGGCTTAGTATGGGTGAGCTGTTGATTTTCTCGGTTTGTCCAAGCAGATGTTAGCTCAACTCAATCTTGCCGATCTAGGCAATACATAAGACCCCCAATTTTGAGCTCTTTCAAAGTGAAGGGACTAGTAGCCAATTCGTCTCGTCTTTGTTAACGAAAGTGAAGTAAATGGTTGGTGAGGGAGTTGTTAGGGCGTGTTGTGTGCATTTTGATAGTTTCTTGTGTGTCTTAAAAAGTGATGGTTACATTTTCAATGACGATATCTAGGTCATTTAGTAACATTTGATCTTTGATTACAAGCCATTTATGTAGAGAGAATGAGTGGTGGTTACTTCCTCCTCTTTTAAGAAGGGTTTTAATTATGACTATTCATTTTTATATGTTTTGTTGTTATGGCTTCTTTACTTTTGTTTTTGTATTGTATTTGTGACTTCTTGGCTACTTGCTTGTTTGTGTGCATTAGAATTTTCACTTGTTGCACGAGATTCATAAAACTAAAGGTATCTTTCTTCCTCTTCCTTTATTTTGTTTGCACGTTTTATGGAAAAAGGAAAAGTATCTTTGTAGGTGGCCTTCCTCATTGTTAGCAACAAGAGTATGAAGAACATCCTCTCTCTTGTCAAAACACCTACGAAATATAGTGAGAACAAAAACAAACCAATATAAAAAATGCATTTTTTCCCTTTTCCTTTTACCTCCTTTATAAGTTGTTTAAGTCATAATTGTATTTAATGTGGTTGAATGACTTCATCTTATTAAACCATATTATCTTGTCCTATATGACAAGAGCTAAACTTTGTTTATAATTTACATGATTAAACTATTGAGAAACCTAGTAATGTTGGTTCTCTTTTCCTCCCTTATACTTGCCCTCAACGTGTATTACTCTATATTTTGTCTATACTCTTCTACACTCATATTCTTTTGATAAAATGTTTCCTTCTTATGACACTCTTAAAGTCATACCAATATTTAATACTAGGTTCATTGTGAAGCCTTCTATCTTTTTATTTGAAGGTCCACCAATATATAGCATACCCTTAGAAGCTAAGGGTTGCTAGTGAAATATTTCTCCTCTTCACTCATTTTATGACGAGTAAAGAGTTGTTCCATTTTTATCTCTCAATCAATATATGCCCCTACATCGTGCTTCCCATGGAAGTGAGGGAGATCCACCTTGGATCCCCTTACCCACTGCTCTTTCTTGGACTTGGAAACTCTAAGTTCTTATCGGTAATAATTACTCATGTATAAACTATCTTCATGATGAGTGAAAATATGACTCTTAATGAGCTACTACTATGAGAACTATTACCATACTTTTTCTTATTTTTCATTTTCTAAGAGATTTTATTACTCTCTAAAATCTTTAAGTTCCAGTGGATCCTAAGAGAAAATATTAAGAAAAATAACACAAAATCATATTGTATTAAAAGATTTAAGTATTTGAACATCAATTAAGAAAATAAATAAAATAAATATATTAATTATGATTAATTAATAATATATTTTAAAATTATCAAAGCATTAAATATCAACATTATAATATTATCTTTCTGCAATATTTCATTTGAATGAAAGCATGCATGTATTAATATAAAAAAAATCATATATATAAGTAAATTATATAAATACTCTTCATATTTCACAAAATAGCATGTACCCTTTCTACTTTCCCCCTACACTAACACTTTGATTCAATAGAAATAGCTAAGAAATTGATAAGAGAGTCAAAACAGAGCGTAAAAAATCCCAAGCGTGTGGTTCAGTGGTAGGGGTTGATCCACGCTTAAGCAAGGTCAGGGGTTCGAATCTTGTCTTGTGTATGCAGCCGCGTTAAATCTTGGGGCCAGCTATCTCACCCTTTGAGGTGCCTCCAACGTAGCGAGGAGATTAGTCACTGCTACCGGCGGTGGATACTCCAGGAACGAAAAAAAAAAAAT